CACGTCTTAAATGACGAGGATCAGGAAATACCTTTCACCAATTTCCAAGCAACCAAGTCTGGCAACCCCCTCTTTTACCCGAAACCCCCCGGTCCCCCCGCGAGGGCCGCCAACGCAAACTACGTAACTTTGGCCCGCGCGTCCGGCAAGGCAGCGCGCGGCCCGCAGTAGACGCAACCGGCGCGCGGCTCGGAAACTTCAACATTCAAGTCGGCCAGCAATCTGGGATCTACTGCACTAGCACAGGAGACCAGTGCTGCCACTGTGGCCGAGCAAAGACTCCGCGCTTTGAACCTTTTTTTTCGAGGTGGGTAGAGCCCCTTTATGAGTCTAGACAACATCCCCTCATGGAGTCACAAACGGGAATAAAGATTACACAAATTGAACGTTTCACTGAAAAAAAAACAAAACAAAAAAAAAAACACATTGGATCTTGAGTCCAGACTCTTGAAAACATTGACAAGAAAAAATACTCTTGATTCATTCAGATTTTTGCTTAAATCAAAAGGAAATCCGCTCAAATTAAGCGGCTTGGTTCTTGATTTAAGCAAAAATCCGATTGAATCAAGAGTATTTTTTCATGTCAATGTTTTTAAGAGTCTGGACTCTATATCCATCAATGTGTTTTTTCCCCCAGTGTCTTCGTAATCATCGGCTCATTCTCAAATTCCTCTCTCCGTTTCTTCTCTCATTCCGTTTGTTCCTTGTCGAACCCATATTTCCTCGGTCCATTCCAGATTATAATATTTGCAATTAGTGAAAATGTAGTCTTCATTCCCGTTTGTAACACTGTGGAGGCCTAAAATACGGGAACCAATCAGAAATGGATTCGCATTGTCTCAGTATAAAGGGACTCCAGAGGAGGGTAGGCTGGTCGAATTAGGTTTTGCGTAATTATTTTATTTCGGGGAGCGCAGACTTAGATTTCCGGTGCGTTACGAGGGAGAAGGGAAGTCAAAAAATCCGATTTTCATTGTCATGTAGATTATGAGCGGCTCCCGACTAGGCATGTTTTGACAGGAAACTTCAAAAACAAATTGGAATGGGAGGAAGGGGGGTAAAGGAACCTCACGCGCGTTTTAATTTTGAGGTTGAGAATGAGAATTGCGGCAAATGGCGAAGAACGTAAACGAGGCTTAGTTACGGGTTAAGTTTGAGAAAGAAGGGAAATTGAGTAAGAGAGAAAGGAGAAATCAACCAGTATCAATTCGGCATCCGAATCGAACCATTTGCGTCGGAATGTACCCAAGCGGAGAAAATTGCGTTTTCTGCGGAAACGATGTGACCACGCGGAGCTTTAATGCCCTCTCCGCCCCCCAAATTTTTTCTTCAGTGCACATTAAGTTAGCGACATGAATTTTTGTTTGCTTCAAAAAGCGCCCGACGAATGTTCATAGTACACTTTTAGGGGCCCGAGAAATTTCACATGTGCGGCTAAGTTGGTCTTTTTAGAAATTGAATTTACCACGAACAATTTCATTCACGATAAATTTCTAAATTTTTGTTTTCTCTCTCCCTCGCCCGTTTTTTTAAATTGTTTTGAACCCAGCACTTTTTGAAACGAAAATATGTAGAATAATAAAAAACAGTAACCAAAAAATCGCTGAATATCGTAGAAAAGGGTGAATCTAAAAAATTCCGGCGGCCAACACGACTATGATCAGGGTTTCTACTGAAACAGGCTGGCCCAAAATCAGTACTTTTCCAGTACTTTTCCAGTACATTCCCGAGAAATTCAGTACCTCCTCATCAGAAAAATTCAGTACTGTTTCGGTGCCTCCAATTGACAAAATTTGAATTTCTCGCTCAAATTACGACAGAACTGACAAAAAATTAAGCAAATTCTGGACCTTCTTGCGGAATTTCCGTACTGGTTTAGTGCCGTCCTTACAACCCCCCCCCCCTTAAACCGCCCTTAAAAAATCAGTACTACTTCCGGACTTTCCGAACCTCTAGACACCATGATGACAACAAAGATTCCTGGCTACGAATCGAGAAGTTCTGAATTCCAGAATTAGCGGCACGTAATGGCAACACTGGCTCTCGCGGGGGGCGCTGGCTAGGCGTCGCGGCGGCGGAGGCGGCAGCGCTGCGCTGCCCCGCGCCGCGGCGCTATTACTTAATCTCTCTCGCAAGAGCGAAGCGTCGCGACGCGGACGCCTGGGCCGCTCGCGCGAGGAACGCCGGCGTAATCTCTCAGATTTCCGATACTTAGCGACCAAACTCACTCTCGCTCAAGTTCAAGGTTAGCCGCGCTAGTATTTCTCCTCTCTTGGAGTTTCCTCCTCCGTGCATGCCCGCGTCTTTCTGCATCCTCGTTTCCTCACTTGGATTGGCTGCCCACGTGAGAGCTGTTGCCGGAGCAGGATTTATCCACCGCACATAAAAGGATCCAATTAGAGGGTCGTCATTCTCAAGGAAAAGGAAACTTGCACACACTCGTCCGACTTCCAACTTCACCGGAAAAAAACGCCGTATGAATTGAGGAACTTCGCCAAATTTCACATCTGTTAAAGTAAGAGTTTTCTGAAACACTAAGGAGTAACACTGGGAAAAAAAGTCGCTTGGATCTAGAGTCAAGACTCTTAGTAACATTGACAAGAAAAAATACTCTGGATTCAATCCGATTTTTCCTTGAATCGAAGAGCCGAGCCTCTTGATTTAGGCGGATTTCCTTTGGATTCAAGCAAAAAGTCCGATTGAATCGAGAGTATTTTTTCTTGTCAAAGTTTTTAAAAGTCTGGACTCTAGATCCAAGTGACTTTTTTCCCCATTTTCCTTGAATTTTTAAGATAATATATCTGCCAACCTCGTCTAGTTTATCTAAAAAAATCAAAGAATAATATTGATCACTTTTCTTACAGGAAATATTTAATCCAGGGTAAATTGGCAACATTCGAAAGCTCATACGGTGTTTTTCCCGGGATACGCTCGACGCGCCGGTAGCATGGCGTGGTTTGCGATAAATCGATGGATCTGCTATTTAAATCTATGGAAAAGAATCGATAAACAGGATGTTTGCAATGAAGACTTTAATAATCGGTTCTTTACCACAGCTTCAACTGGGAAAATATCGATAGTTGATCATTCATGCCTCGCAACTGCAAGTGACACGCTGTATGTAACACCGCCATCCTCATTCTGCGCAGTTAAGGGATGAAAACTATGCCACCTTGCTAAAGAAAACCGCTGAATGAACCTTCTGCTTTAGCGAAGGGGAGAAATTTCAAAGATTTTTCTCCAGTTTTTCCGTAAGGTTTTGTTCGCAATTTGATGGAAGTCATCTGAAACTTTCAAAGAAAACTATCCAGAACTTTCTATGCGCGTCTGTCAATGTGTTAAAAGTTCTCAAATGTAAGTAATAGATGCTCAGGATACGTAGAAACAGATAGAATACAGCCAATCGGTGGATGCAACTTAATTAACTCCTGTGTGGGGTTGGGTTGCATCGCCAAAATTGAAGGCGAACTGGCAGCGGTCTCGTTCCCGAGTAATGCGGCGCAGCTCGCCGCTCCAACCGTTGCGTTATGCATATGCTGTACCGTTTTTTAAGTATTAGGGGAAAAAGGGGTAATCCTTTTATGAAAATTATCTCACGAGACAAGATTTTTCTCACGTCTGCCGATAGTGAGATCAGGCATTTTCTGGAACCATATGAGTGCGTAGGCGTAGAACAGAAATTCTTGTCCGGAAGTGAGAAGTTCAAGGATAAAACTATAGCATGAATCTTGATCTGGGGAAGGTATTCCACCTAAGAATCAATCGTAAAAATCCAATTTAAATGTTAATTACTATGCACGGTAAATTATAAAAATAAAATCCACGATAAATATAGACCGCAGTAAATACTTGAGCACCGAAATTAGGTATGTGAAGGACAACAATCAGGTGTGCTATCTCTCGACTACTTCGAGCGCTAGCTGTCAAGGAAACTGTGCGTGATTAGCATTAAGTACGCAGAAACAGATAAACAATACCGCATGCGGTTTTCACGAAAACATTGAGAAATTGAATTACGCACTTCTGCGTATAATTTACGTCAACGGATTCCACGCGGCGGACTTGAAAAATCGCCTCTGACGAGTGGACTCCTGGCGTCTCGGCCCACAACACGCCTTTTCGGATCATAAACCGCGCATCTAATGGAAAATCGCCATGAAGATTTGTCGTTCTTGCTTAGAGTGGCATAATAATAAGCTCACTTTTACTCACAGCGTTACATGTGCTTTTTCCACCGCGCACGCTCTCCAGACCGCAGCGGTAATTACCGAGCGATCATTTGCTGAAATTATGTTTTCACGAACGTCGGAAATTCAAAACAGGGAACCGGTTTCCACGAAATGTCTAGGCGTGTTCGTAGCGCGCTGCTTCAGCGACGAAAAAACACGGAAATGGGAAGAATGTGAATCACCAAACCGACAGGCGACTTCGGGCATTTCGGCGCGTCAGAAGTAGGATGTGAGGGATTTTTGCGCCACGCTCCCACGCAGCCGCTTTTCTCGTGACGTCTGAAAGTCGTGATTAGCAGGCTTCATTGTCACTTCAGTTACCTAACAATTAGACTAAATAAAGAGCCCGTGTAACCTGTCACGTATTATATGAAGTTAATTACTATTTTAAATAAGACCTCACTCTGAACACATTTTGCAATTAGGAACTACAATTTCCGGCTCATCTGCAAAATCACTTGTGCGCATAGGAAAACTAATGGTACATACGCTGTTTCTAAACTGAGCCTAAAATTACAGTTCCTAGTTCCTCGATGGTATGCTAATGCAATTCCGGCGTCCTTCCCCCCTTTCTTCCTCTAATTTCTCTCTTTTATTTTATGTCTCAATTTAACTTCATTATTGTATTCTGTAAATTTTTTCCTGTATTAACTTATCACAGTTATTTTTATTTGTATTGTATTAATTCCTTCAAATAATAAAGGACAACTTCAAAAAGCAAAAAAAAAAAAGTTCCTTGACCATAAGCGGGAGATGCGCAAACATACTCACCAAACATGACACCGGGCAATAAAAAAGTGGCTGAAATCAGCAAGTATAGGTAAGGGTAGGGCTACGGCCATCCGGAAATATGGAGCTGAAACTCACCTGAAACAAAAGGGTGAATAGGAACAATTATATCATTGCTAAAACAACATTTTAAAGTCACTAAAATCATTTGTGGATGAAAACCATATTAATAAAAACCGTTAGAACAGTGATCGACAAATGCAAATCCTGAGACGAATTGTCCATTCTTTTTTTTCCCCCCAGTTCTAGAATGTTTCTTGTATCTCCAAATTCTCAATTTTTAAGGGGAAATTCTAACCACAAACATTAAATCTCCTGTAGGAAGACGTCAAAAGGATGAGTCCAGAGCGAGCTAACTGCTCGAATAAGATTTTCAACCCTCCAGTTGTAAACGGCAGGTCCATTAATTGCAAAACGCAAATCTCGCCAACGCTGAAAAAAAAATTCTCGGCGTTTTTACCAAGGTCCGTTGGTACCTTTATCATCTCACTTTTTTTACCAATTATTGGTAATTTTACCAAGACAGACTGGTAAGCTTACCTAAAAATCGGTATTTTTACTGTTTTTTCAGGTAAGAATACCACTTTTATTGGTAATCAATTCCCGGTAACTTTGCCATTTTATCTCGGTAATTCTACCACAGTCGATAAAAAATATTGGCGTTTTTACCAAGGTTCAGTAAAATTACCGAGAAAGTTCAATAATTTTACCGAGATTTCTCGATAAAATTACCAATTCCATAAATGGTAATTTTACCAAGAAAAAACTGGGATCAAATAGAACCCTGAATTCTTGGTAATTTTACCCTTTTCTTCGTAAATACACCGATATTTTTTTTTTCCAGTGCAGCTTCTGGTAGATACCGCAAGTGACATTCTGGAAATTCAACTTACCCTGATCTCAGTTTTTTTATGACTATAAGCACGACTGCGCAGTGTCTACGGAGCAAAGGCTGATCAATTTTATATGAATGAGTCACGAAATTTTCAGTATCGTGAGTCAGGCTTTGTATTTCATTTGTACGAATGAAACGGTAACACTGCGCGGAACAGTTTTCGTCATCTCGATTGACGCAGACGGAGTCCGCGATATCTTGTCCTTATAAATATTCATCGACTCTGCAGAGTTTTCCTCGGTATCGAAGGAAATCGTCGCCGCACGGTGGATCGAGTCAATAGTAGAGGTCGGACAAAATTTGGAAACTTTAAAAGCTCTTAACTCCGTTTATACAAAACTTTTAGAACCTAAAAGCGGTTCCACTGGTTTCCTCGTGAAATTACTTTCTAGAACCACCACATAAATTTTATAATATGATGAATTAAACATCAAAATTTGCAGTTTTAGTCAAACATTTCATGTCCGACCTCTCTTAATGACTCGGTACACTGTGCGACGGAGCATTGCCGAGCTGCCCCAATTGCCAGAGTCTGACAGACTCTTTGGCTTCGGGTCCGGTTTGAAAGGGAGATATTGAAGAGAAAAGGGAAGAGGACGATAAGGAGGAAGAGGGAAAAGAGAAAGAAAAGAAAGAAAACGGGGAAGAAAAGGAAGAGAAATTGACTTTTTTCATCTTTCTCCTTTTCTTCCTCTTAGATCAGTAAAGCTGGCGTTGCTAGGTTTGAGAAAATCCGCGAACTTGTTGCGACTTGGCAACCCTGCTCCTGGGCTAAGCTTTCCTCTCTTATGTTTGTATTTATGCGTATAAGCGCTGCTGCGCCGGGAAATTATGCAGCAGGACAAGCGCGAGCACGCGTATCCTAATTCGATTTCCTGCAGTTTGCATTGTATTGACCTCCTATCGCACGATTGACTCCTTTTTGCCACGAGCAGTGAGCATTCGTCTACGGTGCGTTAAACTTGTTTACTCCAGTTCCGAATAAAGTGTGCTTTCCCTGAAGTTCATACTCGAGAGCTTTTTGTGTACAGGGATCCTATCGGCGTTATTGTAGCGACCAGTGGCAATTATTGAAAGTTGGCAACATTGTCAATACTAAATTTAAATCCATTAAAAATATTGATTTAAGGTCATGCATTTGAATGAAGGAAAAACAGTGTTGCCAACTGTTAAGAATCGCCACTGATAGCGACCCAGAAAGGAATGCCCAAAGTTAATTCTCAAAGGCTGACAACGTTGGATTTTGTGCATTTACATGCTAGTGTAATGATACTTATAAAAACCACTACTAAAAAATACCACGCTAAGGGTCAATTATTAATAATATATTTGCTATATTAAAAGAGTTGTCACTGTTAAAACGTGGCCAAGGTGCGGCAAGCAACTGTTACCAGGGCCGGACTAAGAGGGTGGCCACATGGGCCACGGCCCATGGCGGCAAAATATAGGGGGCGGCAAATTTTGCAATCTTTTTGAATGTAGGTATCAAAAAAAGAGAGCGAAAAATCGGATTCAGAAAATAAATTACAAACGAGAAGAGGCGACAAAATCTCTCATTTCTTTTGAGTGAAAGTATAGTAATTTCTAATTTTGTCGTCTTTCGGTGATACAAGAGACAACACCTTTAATTAGTCGAGTTAAGAGAGAAACCAAACACGCAATTTGACCTGGAACAGAGCGGTGCGGCGGTCGGCATAAAACGCATAGCGCCTACAAGACTGCATGAATACTTCACGCATTGCGCCAAACACACTGCGGTCAGCAGCAGTCGGCCTGAAACGCATAGCGCCTACAAGACTGCATGAATACTTCACGCATTGCGCCAAACAGTGTGGTCAGCAGCGGTCGGCGCGGCGTGAAACGCATAGCGCCCACAAAACTGCATGAATACTTCACGCATTGCGCCAACACATTGCGATCGTGCAGCAATGTCAACACGAGCAAACGCGTCTCATACACCCCCCCTCTTCCGGCACGTTCACTTGATGGTTTTTATAGATCGTATAAATTGAGAGATGAGAGAAGCAAGTTTTGGTTTACTGGCAAAGCGCGTAAATATCAAGGAATAGAGAGGTAATTTAATAATATTTTAATTTATTATTAGAGCGATATAATGTCAATAAACGGAGATATGTAGTAGGCTGAATCTAAATCCGTTATTTTTTTGTTTAAGACGGATGCCACTGATGATGCGTGACTGTTGTATGACGGTAGGAAGGGGGAGAGAGGCAAATCGAAGTTGACACGTAGTTTGGACAATTGAGAAGTGAGAGAGAAAAAAACGAATGGAAACTGCAGAAAACAGAAGTTATGGAGGAGAAAAATAAGAAGGAGAAGGTCACGGGAAAGGACATAACTATGCAAACTATCAACCTGTCTGAGAGAAAGTAAAATAAGGCCTAAAAGTCGTTACACTGTGTAATTATGTACATAAAAAAGAATTTCCCTTTTCTCATGCACGGGATTATCTATATGTTTACCGAGCACCCTAACGAAAGCCCCAGACTTCCGCTACGGCCGAGCGATGGAATGTTTGATTTTTACGCAACAAACATAAACACTTCTCGGTGGGAGACTGAGGAATGGAGCCATGGGTATCATTGCCAAGCTGCGATAAAAAAAACTCAAGAATTTCCGCGAGCTACATTTCCGTCGATTAATAAGCGATTTTCCTCGCCTGGTGGCCGAGCGGTGGGGGTTGGTCGGAGGCAGTCATTCAAGCGCTCGCTTCGCAGTGATTGACTACGCACTTATCATCGAGTCCTGTCTCGTGTCATGGTGAAAAATAAAATGAAGGAAAAAAGAGAGATATAGTCTCGATGAGTCATTTAAGTAATGAATGGAATTCCTTATTAAATGTATCATTGAGCAGGTGGTTGCCTAAACCTCATTCGATGAAGCGGGCTTGGCAGTTGGTCGCATCAGATCATTGAAACGTGGGTAGTGCAAATAAGATTGTTGTCTATCGTCAGCAAGTAAAATAGCGAGGCGCGGTGGCGGAATAGATAGTGACTCGAACACGGATTACTTTAAATTAGGTATCAATTGATCAATCAGTCAATTGAAAATTAATTTTTCCATCTTATAACACGCCCTCTTTTCCATTACGGAATATGATTTTTTACTGAAGGATAATACATCACGAATACGACATCAACAAAGTGCAGCATTCTGATGTTTATCAACAAAATGATCAAATTGCATAATAGAAATTATTACAAAGAAGAGAAAACTTCGTACGTACATAAAATGCATAATGGTAAATAGAAGGTTAACTAGTGGCTTGTTGTAGAGACATAATGAAAAAAAAATAAATCAGTTATCCGCCAACATTTTTAAAGGACGACTGGACGAACGTGTTTAAAGGATAACGCAGTAGCAAAAGAGAGGTTAATCTAACAAACCCATTCAGTTCTAAGTTTGAAGAAAAAAGAAATCGTGCGTTGTTGTTTTGCATTAGGCTTTCCCTCACAAATTCATGCGTATATGTATGTACTTTATTCTAACACGATTTGAGTTCCTAAATCTTTTCCGAAAAAAACATGTTTGATATTAAACGTTTCTCAAACACGCTGGGATTCATGAAAAGTAACGTAGGGACTATCTAGAAATTTTAAGAGGCACTTGATGAACGTACATTTGAAGCGATCCCGAAAAAGATTTCGAGTGCCTAAAGTAGTTTCAACATGACGACACAAGAGAACACTTCTTGATACAAATATTGACGATACGATACGAACTCTGGGTAGATTGTTTTTCTGTTTGTCGGCTTCTTTAGATCATGAAAAAGTAGAGAAGTGAAAGCGTTCTCAAAGCGCAGCTTTAATAATCATGCGGCCTGACCTAGCTACATACTCTGTTTCTATTCATGAACTACAAAACATATACTAGGCATCAATTTGGTTGTCCTTAACGATTTGCATCGAGTATCTACTCCCGCCTGCATGTATTGTCATCATTGTTGCCACTGTCATCATGTAGAAAGACCGTGGGAACGGAAGGAGGATATATTACCTTAAAAAGTAGAAAATAGAATTTCAATATTCAACTTGCTTCCCTATCGTGTTTTTTGTGCAATTTTTCAAGACTTCTTCTTTCTTTTTTAAAAATAATGCAGCCGTGAAAGTAACGTGAGCTAAGACTTTTACTGCGAGTGCAAAGATTGGTATTACTCTGCAGTATT